AATTCTGGGCTCATTTTCCAGGCCCCAGCCGTACGTAAAACTCTCCACGTGCGGTTTGTTTTCTTCTTCTTCGGGTTGGGCCACGTGTTCGTCGAGCGATTTCCAGAACGCTCTCCGCCACGCGCTACTGCCAAGGTGATGGAGGTGGTGGTGGAGGGGAGAGGTGGGGGGGCATCGTCAGGAGTTTGAATTATTATAAGCCCCGAAACCCCGCACCCACGGAACGCTCCACGCTGAAACTCTCTGAAGCTGCTTCGTCGAACGGAAAGCTTTAGCAATGTGACGGGGGACTGTGATCATACGGCGGACAGCGTAAATGCTTAAAAAAAAAGAGAGAGAGAAACGGAGTTTATTGAATTGTCGCCGGTTAATGGTTTTGTGAATATTAATTCTTGAGTCACTGCACTAGTGATTTATTTTGATGTGCGTGCGCGTGTGTGTGTGTGAATGTGTGTGCGTGCGTGCGTGTCCATGTGCGTGTGTGTGTGTCACGTGCTGCCAGGACCTCTGGTGTGGTAATTGTTATTCTAGCTGTTCCTGTCAGGTGAATTCTCGTTCACTCCCCCGTTGATTTCAATGTGTGTTGTGCCTGCAATTTCCTTAAGGCATTTGTAACTTGAATGTCTCACAGACGACGACTCCTTGTTCATAGGTGCACCCAAAGCCAGGACTTTTCAGGTGTTCGACCCAACTGATGTCATCATTATTATTATTGCCATTGCGATGAGCTAATCTGCTTTGATTTGGTTTCGTGGAGTCGTGGTGCGGTACCGTGTAAAATCCTGGGTTTGGAAAGAAATCTTTATTTTGTAAAAACAAAAAAGTGCGTTCTTCTACAGTTGTGTGGTTATGGGGGCAGTAAAAATACTGATCGTGGATTCTAAATCTGTGAAACGTGGCAGGGGCATTTATTTGCAGGCGAGCAATGCCCAAGTCACGCACTGTCGCACACGCGCGGCACACGATGGCAAAGAGATTTCTCACTCTGCGCCACCGCCAGCCATTATCCGCCCGTGCTCCATCCACTGCTGGATGAATACCCTCCCCATAGCGTTCGCTCGCACGTCCCCACGCAGCGCCGCAACATGTCATGCCATCTCGCGCTCCGCGGAGTCCTGATCCCATCGCTTCATCTCAATGGTGGCGGGCGTCCTTACTGCCGGAGCCACCTCGAACTCTCTACTTTCTTATCCACGCGTCGCTTTCCTTCCGTCTCGGTGAGATTCCAAGCGTGCATTTCCAACCTTCCCCCCCATCCATCCCATCCAACACCCGGTGCTTGTCCTGGCAGCCACATCGTCGTCGGCTTTGTGTCAGCCTCCGTCTCGTTTCGGATCCGTGCGTCGTAGCCGAGAAACATTCACGGATCGGATCGCGGGCCGTCATCCTTCTTCCTCGGTCGCATCGATGCATTCGACGTTCACGATGGAGGTCACTCCTGCCCCTTGTTTGCCAATTGGTTTCATACGACGCACGTTCATTTCTTTCACCCCCCCCCCCCCTCAACGTTACTCACAACCGGATAACATCACGAAGTTTACGTCCACTAAACACATTCCCACATTAGATGAATGATAATAATAAGTTGTAATGAATACAATGTTACGCAAAGCTAACACACGTGCTAAGCAAAGTCCGCACCGTGATTGAACCTGCTGGAATTATATTTTAGTAAGAAAAGTTTATTGAAGGTGTAAGTAATAATACGAGTGGTCACGTGAACATTTTGATTTAAAAGTAAAAGTGGTTTCTGGCTCTCCACAGTCCTAGGCAATCCACGTTCCTATGGTGGGGGTGAGTACATCCTATGAGATACCTCTGTTGACTGCCGTCAATGTGGTAATCGCTTGATCAACCTCGAACGGACGACGACGACGATGAGTTATTTCGACGCCGGCCAGGGAATTGAAACCCGTGCCCTCTCTCGATTGGGAGTTGCGCCACCTGGCCAGATTCATTGCATCGTCATCAGCCACGGTTAATCCACTGCTGGATGAAGGCCTACCCAAGCCATCACCTTACGTAACAATTGGGATTTACAATTCAATCGCACCTTGCTGTCTCTGCATGATGGGAAAAAAACCCAATCATAAATTAATTACAGCGCTCGGTCAATGTGCTGCTGGATGAAGGCCGACTTCACGCAGTGTCAGTCGTTTGACATTTTTTTGTTACCATACTTCACCACGCTGGTCAGTGAGGGGGGAGGGGGGGGCGGTGGGGGGGGGCACTCTCAGCACCGGTTCTGATATCAATCACCGGTTCTGACGTCACTCAGCCACCACTTCTGACGTCACTCACCCACCGCCTTCTGACGTCACTCACCCACCGGTTCTGACGCCACTCACCCACCGATTCTGACGTCACTCACCCACCGATTCTGACGTCACTCACCCACAGGTTGTAACGTCACTCACCCACCAGTTCTGACGTCACTCACCCATCGCTTCTGACGTCACTCACCCACCGCTTCTGACGCCACTCACCCACAGGTTGTGACGTCACCCACCCACCAGTTCTGACGTCACTCACCCACCGATTCTGACGTCACTCACCCACCGATTCTGACGTCACTCACCCACCGCTTCTGACGTCACCCACCGGTTCTGACGTCACTCACCCACCGGTTTTGACGTCACTCACCCACCCGTTCTGATGTCACTCACCCACAGGTTCTGACGTCACTCACCCACCGCTTCTGACGTCACCCACCGGTTCTGACGTCACTCACCCACCGGTTCTGACGTCACTCACCCACCAGTTCTGATATCAATCACCAGTTCTGACGTCACTCACCCACCAGTTCTGATATCACCAGTTCTGACGTCACCCACCCACCGGTTCTGACGTCACTCTACCCACCGATTCTGACGTCACACACCCACCGCTTCTGACGTCACTCACCCACCGGTTCTGATATCAATCACCAGTTCTGACGTCACTCACCCACAGGTCACATCTGCCATGGTCGGGAATCCAACGCAGGTTGCCGGATTCATCGTGCAGTGCGCTAACCGCTGTCACCGATCCCTTTCCTCGCCCAGCGATTCAGGTTGATATATCTGCAAATGTGTATAAACGTACAAACGTCACAATTATTATTGTGCAATTATAAAACAAAAAACACTATCGGCCAGTATCCACCCCTATTGCCTGAAGGTCCAAAGAATCCATCTTCACACTTTTACTGCCCTTTTAGTAACAACAAAAAATCTACAAAAGAAAGTTATATTTTCACACTTTACTCTTTTCTGTAATAAAGGTATGGCAAGGTTAATCATGTTAAAACACTGCGGTCTTCTCGTATTTTCAAATAAATGCTGTTCTTGCAGACGTTAGCAATACTACACCGTGTGTTCATGCGTTTGTTTTATTTCGCGATGACTCCCGTGCTGCCAATTGTTACCGGGTATCAGATGCACTTTGTCCCGCCTGCATTTCAAATGGAACTATTTTAGTTACCAGATAAAGCCCACCGAGCTACGAGCTCTCATGTTCGGAGGCGATCTGACCACACGTGGTGAACGGCTCATCATCACAGCGGCCGATTTCATTATCGCACATGGGAATAATTCAGAGCAGCAGCCTAATCATCTACAGGCGCGTTGTTTCTCCATACGCAAGGGAGGTGGGTGGGTGGGGGCAACATCGGGGGAAACCGCAGAATGATCCACATGTGGGTTTGTGAGTGGGTGGGGAGTGGATGAGAGAGAGTGTTTGGGTGGATTAGATGAGCGGATGGGTCGGGTGGGTTTGGGTAGCGTGGAGTGGGTGCTTGGCGGTTGAGTGTGGGTTTGTGTCGCCCCGTTGCACCGCGACCAATGAAGAAGGGAAGGGTGGTAGGAGCGGGGGTATGGTTGAGGTTGTTTCCATGAATTCAGAAAATATGCGGCGGCACAGGTGGCGCAGCAGTCAACGTGGCGCGCGAAGCGGCGATCGACAGGAAGACCGGCTGTCGACTTCCCAAAGCGGTGCTCAATTCATGGACCTTTTTGCAAATGTGATCACCGATGTACGACGAGCCGAGCTGGCTTGTGACGGGGAAAGTTGAACTCGCGACCTTCGGAATGAGGGTCAAACGCTCTGACCGCAGCAAAAGCCTCAAAACTCCTTTGGGGCGCGTTTCCTAATTTAGACTCACAATTCCTCTTTGCGCATTTTTTGTGGGTAGGATGAATTTGGAGTTTCTGCACATCTAGAATTCTAAGGATGCTAAATGTCTTCGTTTGTCCGAAGCCATTTCCTAACTAATTATGGACATAAGTTAAACTAATCTTCATTTTGTACATTTGGTATTCGTGCCATCTTCTCAGAGCAAGGCTATCAAGATGGCGCTATGTTCAACCGATATAGTCTGCAATAGGGACAGAGAGGGTAATGTTGCTATGTGTAATCCAAAATTTCTAATTTAGGCCGTGATGCCTGCACACAATAACCTACACGCTTCAAACGCCGTCGGGGAATCTTGAACATCCACTGCGACGCGATCGGCGCGTAGTATTCTGTTAATGCACCCACAGTATTAACCAGGGTGGCCAACCGGAGCTGAACCGTGAGCCTGGGCACCACGGTGGCGTGATGTTAAACTGCCTCGCCTGGTTTCCAGGTGGTGGGTTCGATCCCGACCCTGTGACACCTGCTGTATATTTGGAGCTTGCGTGCGTCTCTCCCCGTGATCGTGTGGATTTTTCTCCGTGTCCTCCAGTTTTTCCCTCCACATTTAGAAACACGCATTTGGATTATTTGGCTGCGAGAAATTTCTACGTGATACGCTACTTGATTGAGCGATCATGTATGGTCAGGTCGCTTCTGAAAAAGAGTTAAATAGCTCAGTGGGCCTTACCTGGTGAAATGAAAAAAAAGATTAGTTTTCTAGTCTAGCTAACCTCTGCAATAAGCAGCGAACGCACGACCACTCCACTGTCCATCCAGCCACGGGCAGCGGCAACAAGTGTGACTTCGACAACTCACAGGAACACATGGCGCAGACACACGATTCGTGAAGGTCATCAAGATTTTTATTCTTAATAATTATTACCGCGGTCGTCTTGCACACAAACGTACCGTAGTTATCGCGGATTTCTAAGGTGCACTTTTTTCCCCCCTCTATTTGAAAGCAAAAGTTTGGGGTTTGTCTTGCAAACCGAGAGGACGTGTCTGTGACCAAGTTTGTTGAACTTCGTTGACACCGTGCATCGAACTTTCCGGAGCGTCTTATGATCCCGAGAGAATACAGTATAACACACACGCACGCCGAGACATAGCGCCCACACCACAACAACATCACGTGTCCTTAACTGCCAAATTTGTTGTCCTTCCCCGCCCTCTGTGCTTCCCCCACACCTCCGATCACCACGGTTGGCTAAGTATGGTGCGCGAAATAAGTTCAACATACACTTCTTTCTCCGCTAATTTAGTTTAATATATAAAATTGCTTTACACATTGAGCGTACAATCCGCTAGCGCTCGTCATTTTACTTTTCCGGCACGCCCAAGTGGACTTCGTTATCGACGGCGGTGTTGTCGGTCTCCTTCATATGTTAAACCACTCGTTCATGTTGCCCCTCCGCGGGTCTCCCTTCTTCCTCTGCTCCTCGTTCTCGCGGAACATCCGCTCAAACGCTTCCAACGACTCGGGGTCCTCCTCCTTGGTCTCCTTCTCGGGGAACAGGTTGGGGAAGGTGAAGGTCTGCCCCTGAGCCTGGGTGAGGCGCGCAAGACACACGGGGAAACGGAGAGGAGAGTGGAGTTGACTTCAGTGTTGCAGCCATGAAATGACTCTTGACACGGTTCCGCTGGTGGGGGTCTCTAAAATGCGAACAAGCGATACACGTGTGCATGTTGAACTTCTGTCGCACCGTACGTAGCCAACCGTGCTAATCGGAGGTTACAGCGAGGGATGGTAATTTAATTTTGTTAAAGTGTTTTCAACTAGTAATAGTTTAAGTGTTTAAGAGTTTTAGTTCAGTTTTCATTAAATTTACTTGACTTTACCGAAAAAACCTAAGAGTATGAATCCTTGCAGTCACGAAAGCTTCAAATCTAGAATTAGTTTTCTTTAAAACGCATGAAAAAAAACAATCAACTAAATTAATAATCATATTGGCTGGGTGGCTTGGAGTTCAGGGCGCTGACAGGCGGAGAGAGCTAATTGGAAAGCATTAAACTGGCCACTTGTTCCCCAGCTTGGATAACACGGGTCAACAAACTAAACAAAAATTCTGGCCTGGACTTTTGCAGCTGTTCAAGACTAATTTCAGGGTGCTGATTCCAAATCTGATCTCAGATTTTCTCTATCACATCTCATTTTTATGCTATCGGCATACCCCATTTTCATTGATTTTACCCGAAATTAACTCTGTCACTAATGATTGCAAGTTGTTGCGAGTCAGTGACTGCTTTAGTGTTAAAATATGGCGCTGTATTTTTAGGATAGTGTGTTTATAATATCATTTTATGTAAATATCCACATTTATTTAATATTTTTCTTCTGCAGTTTTAATTGAAAATGCAATATTTGATATCTCAAAAACCTGATGTGATAGACAAAAACTGATGCCAGATTTGGAATCAGCACCCCAAAATTACATTAAACCCGTTGGAATACCTTATGCCACAAAAAAGTGTGTTGACCAGTGACAATTTCAGTCACCCTACATACACATTGGTGGCAAAATGTGTCGACAAGAGGCGGCCGGGCGGCTAAAAGATCAAGGCGCTGAGTCAGCACCATTGAGATCCTAGGTGCAAAGCCAGCTTCGAGACAGCTGGGATTGAACCAAAACCAGATTCATCTTCTTGGTTCTTTCGGTAAAGTCACGTAGAAGGGAAATAATAAAACAAAAATAAAACATAATAAAATTATTCTCACGACGTTTCGGCCACAACGCAAGCAGCCGTCCTCAGGTGAAGAACAGGTGTGTCATTCAGACACTGTCTTTCCGACAGACCTGTTCTTCACCTGAGGACGGCCGCTTGCGTTGTGGCCGAAACGTCGTGAGAATTGTATTTTATTATGTTTAATTTTTATTATTTTATTATTTCCCTTCTACGTGACTTTACCGAAAGAACCAAGAAGATGAATCCCTGCAGTCACGAAAGCTTTCAATCGAAACAAAACCAGGTTCTCGAGGGCAGTGAGTTGGAGGTCTCCGCATTCATAGTTTGGTCTCGATTTTTAAACGTCTTCGCTGTGTCACCTCTCCCTGCTCCTCACCAGTTGCACGTAGGCCACTTTGTAGTCGGGCTTCTTGAGGTGTTGATTCAGGTGGTTCTTCTTCTTGTTGGAGCCTACAAAAAAGGGGCCCACATGAATGACCGCACGGTGAGATGTAACAATAAAAACAAGGCAGCTGTGTAACGTGGCTTTGGGTCGTTTCTCCCGCTACTCTGAAGATGTTTGATAAGTTGTTTTTGGTGTGGCTGCTGGGAGCCTTAGGTATTTCCACTAAATATTATGAATCCTTACTCTTTGGTTCTTTCGGTAAAGTCACGTAGGTATAAAATAAATACCCACGTGACTTTACCGAAAGAACCAAAGAGTATGGATTCCTGCAGTCACAAAAGCTTCAAATCAATATTAAGAATCCTACCCGGGCACTAGTGTAAATTATAAAGCTTGCAGTTCTGCCCCTCTCACCAATTGTCCACTGGCACAGCCCTGACCGCACCTGCGCAGGGCCCTCAAAGTATGGCACGGGTGGTTTTCCACTGGCCATTTGACGAGAGCCAGGCCAGAAGCAAACAGTAATAATACGCTGGTCTCACAAGACGTCGTCCGAATTCGGCTCTGGGCCAAGCAGGGCCAGAGGCGGGGCTAATCAAATAGTTCAATAAATGCGTGCGATGTCAGTCAGTGTGAATGGACGGCGCCACCGCGCTTATCTTGACGCCAGAGGTCGCAAACGGGTTTTGTTTCCTTACCCGTACCCGGCCGCACCAGGGTTGCAAATGGGTACCCGTACCCATACCCGGCCGGGTACGGGTATCCGTTCCGTACTCGTACCCGTATCCTACCCGAAATGAGTGACAAACGGTTACTCACCAGTGACTCACGGCCTACCCGTACCCATACCCGGCCGCACCAGGGTCGCAAACGGGTACCCATACCCGTACCCGGTCGGGTACGGGTAGCCGGGTATCGGGTAGGATACGGGTATCAGGTTGCGACCTCTGCTGCACGCGTCCCGATTTTAATCTTTTTCACACGACGTCAATCGGCACGCAGCGTCACCGCATCATCCGCATGCGTCTCAAGCTGAACGGTGCACGTGACATTACATGGCGCAGTTCAGCTTCTGCGTTGTAAGAACAACCCGGAGCCTCCCGAGTCACAGCGAGCTGGCTCGCCATGGGCCCGGGCACGGCACAGTAGTTGCGGTGCGAAGGAAGTGTTTTCAGCGTGACCAAGACTGCGTGGGAGTTGCTCACCGTATTGGATTCTCGTCCTCACTTCCGCCACAGAGACGTTGTAAATTTTCTGTAGGTAGTTTTTGATGTCGAACTTGGTCATCCTGACAACGAAGGACAAATGTCGGTGGGGGTTTTACGCGGCTTCACGTCACATAGGCGTGCACTGCAATCATGAAATACGCTGCCCCGTCGTTGGGTTTATAAATGAGAATCGGAAGGAAATAAAGTGTTCTTAAAAAATCACAATGACCAACAATAATGGCATTCTTTCTTTACACCACAGGTAATACGATCATCGTGGCGATTATTCCATCCATCCGATCGTTAGCATCAAGCACGTTAGCGTCAACAGGAAAGCCAGGTGGGTAATTGTGGGCATTTCTTTCCCCCCCCCGACGATTGTCCCTGCTGACAATTGTCCCAACGTGTGCGGAGCTCACTCCATAGAGACGCGGAACTGCACGGTGTCTTCAGGCAGCTCCTTCCCGGGCCGCACCATCGTCATGAAGAAGTTGGTGCGGAAGACGCGCAGCTGAGGGTTTCCATACTGGTAAATGGGCATGCTGGAACAACAGAATCATCATAATCTTTATTCATACTGGAGGAATCCGGATGAGCTACAAAGTTCTTTTTCACAAATGTCCAGTAGGGGTAGGTCACAACGTTAAAACAAACAATACAAAAGCATGCTAGAAGTGCAGTGTAAGAAAGGTCAACAAATCATGAGAATAGGTTTTCCCCTTTTTTCTGGCAACAAACAGGTGTTAAGATGTTAAAACACCAAACTGAAACCTTTTACAAGGAATCATGTCTGCATTAACCACAATACTCGTGGTCAGAATGCAAACAACCAGGAATTGAACTCGCAACCCGATTGCGAGTGGTTCGCTCAATTTCTGCTGCATTGCACAAGTCAATTATGCCAATACGCCTTCGACGTTTTTGGGATTGCTGAAAGTGAAACACGATTGTGGCCTTTGGAGAGAGAGAGAAACAAGTATAACCCGTAAAAACAAAGTTTTTCACTATAAATCCTTTATATGCGTAGCGGCTAGTCTTCTCGTCCTCTGGCTTGCGATGGCTGCCACCTATGGGTCAGATGATTGTCTGCCAGTATTAAGCAATTGCTAATTAAATATTTAATTTGCTTTCCCTAAACAGTGTAAAATTTTTGGAATTTTTTTTCACGAACATTAATTGTCTCGCACAACGAGTCTGTGTGCAAAATGTCAGCTCGATTGGATCACGGGAAGTGGGTTAAAAAACGACCGAAAGATTTGCACGGCCGTAAGCAAGCAAGCAAGCACGCAAGCAAGCAAGCAAGCGAACTTAATATAAAGGATTTTTAAAAAGGTAAGTTTAGGGGCGTTCCAATAAATCCAGGAGATCTAAATGGATCCCACTGGTTCCGTTCCACACACGGGACATCGGTCCACATTGGGGCTCGTGGTGACTTCACGTGGACATTGGTCAGTTGTGAAGGGTGAAGTGAAGGGTGAATCAAAGGCAAAACGCGCACATAACGTGTCTTACTGCGCGCCACCTGGGGACACAGGCTAACATACTCGCATTAATATTCCAATTAATTAGGTGACGTTGAAATTAATCACTCGCTTACTCGGGGACATATTAAGCGATTGTCAAGAGCGGCGTGACAATTCTAACGTTTAGTAGCACGCAATTTTTCGGTGATTCTTTTAAAGCATTCGATGACCGTTCGTGCTAATTAATTTCACTTGACCTTCGCCATTACGGCGTTGCCAATAACGTTTGATAAGTTGGAGGTGTTTATGCCCATAAGCGGGTGTCCAATGCTAAGCAGAGATGGGGGCAGACACGATGAGAGAGACACGAGGAGAGAGACACGGGGGTCAAGGAGAGACACAGAGACAAGGAGAGACACGAGGAGAGAGACACAGAGACACGAGGAGAGAGACACAGAGACACGAGGAGAAACACGGGGGTCAAGGAGAGACACAGAGACAAGGAGAGACACGAGGAGAGACACATAGAGACACGAGGAGAGAGACACAGAGACACGAGGAGAGAGACACAGAGACACGAGGAGAAACACGGGGGTCAAGGAGAGACACAGAGACAAGGAGAGACACGAGGAGAGACACAGATACACGGGGAGAGACACGGGGGTCAAGGAGAGACGCAGAGACAAGGAGAGACACGAAGAGAGACATAGAGACACGAGGAGAGAGACACGAGGAGAGACACAGAGACACGAGGAGAGACACGGGGGTCAAGGAGAGACACAGAGACACGGGGAGAGACACGGGGGTCAAGGAGAGACGCAGAGACAAGGAGAGACACGAAGAGAGACATAGAGACACGAGGAGAGAGACACAGAGACACGAAGAGAGACACAGAGACACGAGGAGAGACACAGATACACGAGAAGAGACACGGGGGTCAAGTAGAGACATAGAGACAAGGAGAGACACGAGGAGAGACACGAGGGTCAAGGAGAGACAAGGAGAGACACGAGGAGAGAGACACAGAGACGAGGAGAGAGACACAGAGACACGAGGAGAGAGACACAGAGACGAGGAGAGAGACAGAGACACGAGGAGAGAGACACAGAGACGAGGAGAGAGACACAGAGACAAGGAGAGACACGATGAGAGAGACACGGGGGTCAAGAAATAGAGACACAAACGCGCGGAGAGACACAGAAACTGGCATGCAGATAAGGCAGAGACTGACATCGAGACATACACATACAGATTTACTCGTACAGAGAGATCGATACTTGATACACACAGACAGACAGAGAAACACGGAGAGACAGAGACACAGAGAGACGTTCATGCAGCAGACACGAAGATGCGCAGACAAGACACGGCACAAACGCCACGGAGAGACACAGACACAGAGGCGAACATAAAGACAAGAGACACGGGCGGACACGGAGCCCACGCATCAAGACACAAGGGCGATACGCAGACACAGAGAGACAGAAATAGGCACGAATTGATGCAAAGAATAGAGACTCAAAGAGACGTAAAGACAAGGTGACACAAGGAGACAGATACATGTTCACGAAGTCGGGGTTCTCACATGACCTCATCCTTAACCGTCTATTTCACAATCACCTGTGTCACCTTCTGTCTTAAACGTTTTAATGATTAAAAAAATCACAAAATATGCTATGTTAGTAGATCGAGGCCTAGCGCCTGCATTGGGTCCCCGGCCTCGCCTAGGCAGCGCTACCGCCTCTTTAGCGCCCCAACCCGGCGGCGCATCTATCCGAGGGTCGTTGAAGTCGCGCGGGGGCCTAGTAGTGCACATTTTAACTCGTTTTTTTACCCTCTCACAATCACGAGTTTTAAAACAAAAAAAATGTTAACGCAATTTAAATCCGCGCGTGTTTATCCGTGGCAAGTACTCACAGCACTCGACGAGCCATCGTCGAGATGCGTTTGGCGAGTAATTCACCGAACGGCGCGATTCGCCAGTGCGGCTTCACAGCATTCGCTTCAATGTCAATGGGAACGCGTGAACCACCGCCACGTGTGTGCGCAACAAAGCAATCGCTGCAGAAGTTGTTGTTTTGAATGAAGAATAAGGGCAACGACGACGAATACAGGCTGAGTGAGCTTCAACTCGTGCTAAAAATGACTTTTAAATAGGTGTTGGTGTAGAATGTGCGCGTCGTGAGTGGGTTTTAAGTAGCTAAGCGTTGGCCAACGTCAATGGCTAGTCCCATATGGTCTAGTGGTTAGGATTCCTGGTTTTCACCCAGGCGGCCCGGGTTCAATTCCCGGTATGGGAACTAATTTTTTATTTTCTTCATTGGATTTGCTGACTCGACGTTTGTTCAACACTTTTTTTGAGAACATTTATTGGAAAATAAAAACATTTAATTGGATTACGCCAGTAGTAAAGCTATTAGTTTTTTTATTATTTGGTTCTTTCGATAAAGTCACGTAGAATTATGTTGAATAATATTCTTGGTTCTTTCGATAAACACATGATTATAAGTTAATATTATGGTATACGACTACCAATGTATTTACAATGACTTTGCACAGCCTCCCATATGGTCTAGTGGTTAGGATTCCTGGTTTTCACCCAGGCGGCCCGGGTTCAATTCCCGGGATGGGAACTAATTTTTGATAATTGGTTTTTTACCCTTCTATCTGGCAACAAAACTGACACCTTTTTACAAGGAGTCATGTTTGCATAGACCGCAATACCTGCAGTCATAATACAAACAAAAGAACATAACTGATAATGTGCACTGTCCTTGAAGTTGATTGGTCCACACCCGAGACAGCTTTCCTTAGAGCCTAGTCCCTTTTGGCGTCATCTGGTCCAACCCATGTGAGACTAGGCTCTAAGGAAAGCTGTCTCGGGTGTGGACCAATCAACTTCAAGGACAGTGCACATTATCAGAGTTATGTTCTTTTGTTTGTATTATGACTGCAGGTATTGCGGTCTATGCAAACATGACTCCTTCTAAAAAGGTGTCAGTTTTGTTGCCAGATAGAAGGGTAAAAAACCAATTATCATATTTTTACTGGCAAATGAGGTTCCCATAGTGTAGAAACTAATTTTTTCTTTTCCTCATTGGATTTGCTGGCTCAACGTTAGTTCAACACTTTTTTCGAGAACATTTATTGTAATATTATTATTTTAAATAGGATTACGCCGGTAGTAAAGCTATTTTCATTGTTTGTGGTTCTTTCGATAAAGTCACGTAGAATTATGATGAATAAGTCATGTGCGCCATTCTTACTTTATAATGCCAGTGCAAGTTTTGAGACTCTTACGTTAATTTTAATGAACAGGATAACTTTTCTTACCCGCGGCCCTCTTGATACTCCTATTACCCGCAGCAGCTGTAGGGCCCAACTAAGACTCCTATTATCCGCTAATCTATTTCTTCCTATTATCTGCGATCTTACAGATAATACATTGCGGAGCGGATTCTGCATGCTTGGAGTTCCACCCCCGTGGACAAGAGTCACGTGGCAAATGGCTCCAAATTCCCGCTGGTTATCCGTGAACACATTCCTGCGGAGGGAGCTGGTAGGAACGTTGGGTTGCTCGGTCAATGGCCAGGGTCAACGGCGGCGTGGTGTATTCCGCAAATATGCCCGACTGAGAGGGCGGGCACAAGCCGGCGTGAGTTGGTTAAACGTTGAGTTTTATAAGGGCACCACGGGGTGACCAGCCCCTACCCATCCAGCTCCACCCCTCCCACCCCCACCCAGCCCAACCCTCCCCACCCAGCCCTTCCCCATCCTCCCCACCCAGCGCGTCTCCACCCCGATGATTGCAAAATCATCAAATCAGTTTGTGTGCAGGTGCTGAGTTTATTGTTGCATCACGTGATCATGAGCGCTGGTAGCTTGGGGAGGCCTTCATCCAACAGTGGACTGATCATGGCTGATGGTGACGATGAGGAATGTAATGGTAGATGAGACGTGGTTTCCTTCACTATTTCATGATAACTTTGCAAATTTTTTACAATGAGTTAAAATCATGGTATACGACTACCAATGCATTTACGTTGGCTTTACACAGCCTCCTATATGGTCTAGTGGTTAGGATTCCTGGTTTTCACCCAGGCGGCCCGGGTTCAATTCCCGGTATGGGAAGTAATGTATTGTATTTTTGAAAAGTTGGATTGATCTCTCGATGTCATTCTTATTTGAGATGACTTTGCAAATTTTGGCAATAAAATAATCATGGCTTATTGTAGTCTGTGTTTATGGATGTTTCATTCTACATCGTGTATCATTCTACATCGTGTAGTGGTTAGGATTAAATTCCCGCTTTGGAAAGTTTTTGTTAAATGAAATCTAGAGATCAATGCAACTTTTCAAAAATTCAAGACATTACTTCCCATACCGGGAATTGAACCCGGGCCGCCTGGGTGAAAACCAGGAATCCTAACCACTAGACCATATGGGAGGCTGGGTAAAGATCACTGTAATAGCATTGGTAGTCGTATACCATAATATTAACTTACGATCATGGATTATTCTCGTCTGTGTTCATAGATTTTTACTAACCTGCTTGTGTTATTCTGTATGGCCCAGTGGTTAGGGTACCTGCTTTACCCCTCGGCAGTCTGGGTGCAATTCCCGGTATGGGAGAGAAATATTAGTACTATATTCTTAGGTCTTTTCGGTAACGTCACCTAGGTAAAAAATAAAAATTTATAAAAGTAAAATTAATTTTAATTTTTTACTTACGTGAACATAAGAATATGAATCCTTGCAGTCACGAAAGCTTCAAATCTAGAAATATTAGTATATACGTCATTTAATCTTATTTTTGGTTTGGTTGCTGCGTCAATATCAAAATGTTTTTTCTCGCATACAAAATACATTGTTTTGCTTAGAATGCTTGAGTGTAATGTTAGGTATGTTCTGTTTTTTTCACAATTTTTATTATTGCAAAATAATCAAATCAGTTTGTGCGCAGGTGCTGAGCGGATTGTTGCATCACCTGATCATGAGCGCTGGAAGCTTGGGGAGGCCTTCATCCAGCAGTGGACTGACCATGGCTGATGGTGACGATGACAATTGTAATGGTGGATGAGACATGGTTTCCTTCACTATTTCATGATAACTTTGCAAGTTTTTTTTACAAGGAGTTAATATTATGGAATACGACTACCAATGCATTTACAGTGGCCTTACACAGCCTCCCATATGGTCTAGTGGTTAGGATTCCTGGATTTCACCCAGGCGGCCCGGGTTCAATTCCCGGTATGGGAACTAATTTTTGATTTTCCTAATGGGATTTGCTGGCTCGACGTGAGTTCAACACTTTTTTAGAGAACATTTATTGTAATATTTTTTGTTTTTTAATGGATTACGCCGGTAGGTAAGCTATTTTTATTATTTGGTTCTTTCGATGAAGTCACGTAGAATTATGTTGAATAAGTCCTGTGCGCCATTTTTATTTTTTTAATGATAGTGCAAGTGTTGAGACTCTTACGTTAATTTTAATGAACAAGATAACTTTTCTTTTTTTTACTTACGTGACTTTACCGAAAGAACCAAAGAGTAAAGAATGCAATGGTAGATGAGACGTGATTTCCTCAACTATTTTTACAATTAGTTAATATTTTGGTATACGACTACCAATGCTATTACAGTGATCTTTTCCCAGCCTCCCATATGGTCTAGTGGTTAGGATTCCTGGTTTTCACCCAGGTGGCCCGGGTTCAATTCCCGGTATGGGAAGTAATGCATTTTTTAAGTTAGATTGTCAATGACGACGGAAAAAAAAGTCGTATGTCGCATTCTTATTCTTGGTTCTTTCGGTAAAGTCACGTAAATAGAAAAACAAATAAAAATTGAAAATAATCAAAGCCTTCATTATTTTCCATTTATAATGTTTCTTTTAAATATATTCGATTTTTTGTTTTCTATTTACGTGACTTTACCGAAAGAATCAATAATATGAATTCCTGCAGACACGAAAGTTTCAAGTCAAAATTTGTGGCATTCTTATTCGAGATGACTTTGCAAATTTTGGCAATAAAATAATAATGGATTATCCTCGTCTGTGTTTATGGACTATTACTCGCCTGTGTGTAATGTTCTGTATGGCACCAGTGGTTCGGGTTCCTGGTTTTCCCCTCGGCATTCTGGGTGCAATTCCCGGTGAGGAGAAGAATTAGTACTTCATTAATCTTATTTTTGGTTTCGTTGCTGCGTCAAAATGTTTTTTCTCGCATAGAAAATGTATTATATTACTTACAATGCTTGAGTGCAATGTTAAGTATGTTCTGTTCTTTTCGTAATTTTGATGATTGCAAAATCATCAAATCAGTTTGTGTGCAGGTGCTGAGTTTATTGTTGCATCACGTGATCATGAGCGCTGGTAGCTTGGGGAGGCCTTCATCTAGCAGTGGACTGACCATGGCTGATGGTGACGGTGAGGAATGTAATGGTGAATGAGACATGGTTTCCTTCACGATTTCATGATCACTTTGCAAGTTGTATTACAATATGAGTTAATATTATGGTATACGGCTACCAATGCATCTACTGTGACTTTGCCCAGCCTCCCATATGGTCTAGTGGTTAGGATTCCTGGTTTTCACCCAGGCGGCCCGGGTTCAATTCCCGGTATGGGAAGTAATGTTTTGTATTTTTGAAAAGTTGGATTGATCTCTCGATGTTATTCTTATTTGAGATGACTTTGCAAATTTTGGCAATAAAATAATCATGGCTTATTCTAGTCTGTGTTTATGGATGTTTTCTCGCCTGTTTGTAACATTCTACATCGTGTAGTGGTTAGGATTAAATTCCCGCGTTGGGAAGTTTTTGTTAAATGACATCCAGAGATCAATCCAACTTTTCAAAAATACAATACATTACTTCCCATACCGGGAATTGAACCCGGGCCGCCTGGGTGAAAACCAGGAATCCTAACCACTAGACCATATGGGAGGCTGTGTAAAGACACTGTAAATGCATTGGTAGTCGTATTCCATAATATTAACTCGTTGTAACAAACACTTTCAAAGTTATCAATAATAATTATCATTAAATAGTGAAGGAAACCATGTCTCATCCACCATTACATTCGTCATCGTCACCATCAGCCATGGTCAGTCCACTGCTGGATGAAGGCCTCCCCAAGCTACCAGCGTTCATGATCACGTGATGCAACAATTCGCTCAGCACCTGCGCACAA